GATAACAGATTTAACAAATGTATCGATCAAAAGTTGTTTTTGGTTTTCCATTCAAGTTAGCAAAGCAGTTTTGGTGCATATCCCAAGCGTAGTATGTTGAGCGTCGTTGAAATCCAAGTTGCGGATCATTCCAGTATTTGAACAAGTTTTCCATTTTCTGAAGCTTGCTATCAATGTGCAAGTCTGTTTTGTGACGAATCTTGAGAAACTTGAATACACGGTACATATTGTCACCGTTTTGATAGCAGAAAAGTGCAATAAGTAAGCGATTTTTATAGTTGAGATGAGTCCAAAACGCATTGCGATATGTCTTTTTCATCGGACCCCATTCATCACATTCACCAATGCTATCTAAAACGTCTTGCCATGCTTGATATAATGGACATCGTGGCATTTTAAAAACCTTGAGTAATTTGACGACGGAAGACTATTTTCAATGTATGTGGTGCGACCGGTGAAGAGCGGATACGGGCATGTTGAAGGTTCGACGTAGTGGAGTCATTCACCAGTAGGTGGCGTTGTTGATGTAGATTTGTGTTCTGGTTGGGTTGCATTTTTAATGTGCATGAATGAATGAACCCTTTTATTGTTCGCGAATAATGTGTATGTTGAGATGCACGAATGATATTGAAAAAGTCTATGCATTAAATTTAAGTAATGGTACCGAATATTGGTCGAAAAAAGCATATCGATCTTGTGAGATGGTGTAGTGGAGTTATTGACCGATAGATGTCGTTTTCAGATCTTTGTTCACGAGACTAGATCCACCCCTCCTCGATGTTCTGTTGTTGAGTATTAATTTTAATTTGCATATATGAATGCACCCTTTTATTAATTGTTGAATCTGATTTATTCATTTACCCTGGGTAAAAAAAACCATGGGGCTGTCCATGAGCCATGGACATAAATTTAACCATGGATTTTTCTGACCATAGATTTATGAAACCAGTAAACCATGAAAACAACAGTTGACCATGAGTATATAGTGGATGGATTGCATGGCCATGGCTAATGTGCTCCATGGCAAGGGATGGCCATGAGAATTGGCTTTCATGGTCACAACTAAGTCCATGAATGTGTCCATGGTTACTATTACCATTGTCATGTAGGACGTCCATGAACACACGTTTGGACATGATACTGTTATCAATGGACACAAATACCATGATAGAACTAATCAATGGCCAACTGTATTAGTAATGGACATGGGATGTTTTCCTCATGGTCTCTGTGTTCATGGTCTACGTTTATCTTGGCGAGGGTTTGTGTCCATGGGCGTGGAGTCATGGTCACAACCTTTGACCATTGGGACACGTCCATGAATACAACCTGGCCCATGACAAGCCATGCACCTAGGACCATGATCAAACGACAGCCATGTCAATGTCAACGGTACTTTCCATGGCCACATCGTTTCATAAATCTATGGACAAGGGATCTAGGACAGCTCGCCCCAGCTAACTCGCCCCCGTACCAAGTCGCCCCATGCCCAATTCGCCCCATGCCCAAGTCGCCCCAGTGCTAACTCGCCCCGATTTAAATAGATATTGCAGGGAATTGCACCAAGTGTTTTATTCAGAAGTAGCCAGAGAGGTTATGACCAATGGCCCTCAGGTAGGTGACGATGTCGTGGTATCTGTCCACAACGCGGTGGATCCGCTGCTCCGCCTGCTCCAGACGGTTCTTGCGCTTGTTGGGGAAGAAGCCCCCCTCTGCCCTCGTGATGTGGATGTCGATCTCCGCCACCTCCTCGCGGAGCTGCGCCAGGAACACGAAGAACGATGGGTGGTGCTTTCCGATGAGGGCAGACAGGCGCCTATGCCATGCCTCGCAGGTGTTTGTGATCCTGGGCAGCCCTGCCAGGGTCCGCTCGTAGCAGTTCCACAGTTCAGGAGGGAAGAGGGGAGCAGTCAGCAGTCCGTCTGCGGACTCGGCGTCCGCGGCGTGCTTGCAGGCGCCCGCGGATGTAGTTGTCCTCCACGTGCTTGAAGACGGGCTGCAGGGCCATCACAGCAACGAGGGGCGAGTTTTGGGGAAATTTGGCAGATTGGGGCGAGTTGGCAAAAACTTGCATCCCGGACTCGCCCCAAAACCGGGGCGAGTTGACCTTGGGGCGAGCTGGTACTGGGGTGAGTTAGCTGTGATTGGATAGTGAATGGATAGTGATTGGTAATGATTGGTAGCGAGTTGTACCATGGGGCGAGTTAGCTGGGGCGAGATGTCCGGCTCCCATGGACAAGAAATGACCATGGCAAGAAGCACAATGGTTCATGGTCAGAACGTGTCCATGGGAGCAGCTGGCTGCTAGCTGGCCATGGAATTGATTTACCATGGTCAGAGTGTCCATGGGAGCAGCTGGCTGCTAGCTGGCCATGGAATTGATTTACCATGGTCAGAGTGTCCACAGAAATTGATTTACATGGCCTGGATTGTGGCCATGTTACGTGTGTGTTCATGGTCAGAGTGCCCACAGAAATTGATTTACATGGCCAGG